AAGAGCAGAGGGTGAGGCCTGGGAGTGGGTTCTGGCCGCGTCCCCCAGCCTCGGCCCGCCCTCCCCCCAGGACCAGTTCACCTGCCCGGACGAGTACGAGGACCCCGCGGTCCTCTTCGAGGCCATCCGGTCCTTCGAGCGGACGGTGGTCATTTGCCACGAGGGCGACCCGGCCTGGCGGGGCGCGGTGCTCGCCAACAGGGCGGAGCTGCTCACCCTGCGGCACGTGGTAGACGAGGGCGCCGACGAGTACAAGGTCATCATGCTGCACCGGAGCTTCCTCCGCTTCAAGGTGATCAAGGTACCGAGTGGGTCCCGGCGCCTGGGCCCGGGGTGTGAGCGGCAGGAGGGGGCTGGCACGGGCGTCTGTTCACAGTCAGTCTCAGAGCGGCCACTCCTGCCTCCGACGACCAGTGCACAGGCGAGGGCCTCAGCAAGTCCTGGTAGAAGCACATCTGCTTATCTTTAAAGCCCGGCCGGCCTGGCTCAGTGGTTGAGCATCGATCTATGAATCAGGAGGTCAGGGTTCAATTCCCGGTCAGGGCACACACCCTGGTCGTGGGCTCCATCCCCAGTGGGGGGCGTGCAGGAGGTCGCCGATCAATGATTTTCATCATTGATGTTTCTCTACCCGCTCTCATTAAAAAAAAAAAAAAAGACTTTCTAATCCCCTAAAATTCCAGATCTTTCTCTCAGAACTACTCCTGGGCACGAGAACTTCCTTCCCAAGGGCTCTCCTTCCATCATCTTCCAACCACTGGCCACTGGCTGAAACACACTCACCTCCTCTCCTTGGCTCCACGTTTGCCCTGGGAGTGGCATCGCTCCCCCAGGCAGGCCTGCGCGGTGCCCGGCCACACAGCCGGCTCTGGGCCAAAGCGGTGCATCATAGGTATCAAGCCGGAGCCCGGCTCTGGCTGCAGGTGGGCCCAGGATCCCAGGGCGCGGCCGCCGCCACCTGCTCCGCCCCCTCCCGCCCGCAGGTGAACAAGGAGTGCGTGCGGGGCCTGTGGGCCGGGCAGCAGCAGGAGCTCATCTTCCTGCGCAACCGCAACCCGGAGCGCGGCAGCATCCAGAACAACCGGCAGGTGCTGCGCAACCTCATCTGCTCCTCCTGCGACCAGCCCCTGGGCTACCCCATGTACGTCTCCCCGCTGACCACCTCCTACCTGGGCACCCACCGGCAGCTGAGGGGCCTCTGGTGCGGCCCCGTCACGCTGGACGGCCTCAGGGCCTGGTTCCGGACCAAGTGGCTCAGGTAGGTCCCGGCCCCACAGCATCACCTGGACGCTGGAGAGGGGCCGGCACGAGCGCTCGGCTTCCAGCTGGGATTTCCCGGCCACGGCCACGGCCACGTTCTCATGTGGCTAGAGTCACCACCCCCACGCGCCACCTACAGATCACACGTCTCAGTCAGCAGTCTCAGGGCTGGTCGGCGAGCAGCTCAGCCAGAGGGGCGTCCGTTCTCTCCCGCGTCCCCGCGCTGAGCGCCTGCGTGAGTGCTCGCAGCTGCAGAGGTTCGGGGTCTTTAGGACCCACACCTGCCGCAGGCACAAGGCTGGGGTCCCCAGTGCTCACCTCTCAGTCTCCTCCCCTGGTTGTGTCAGTCACTGGTTAGTTGTTTTTTTGTCTATTTTTATTCATTTCAGAGAGGGAGAGAAACGTCAATGATGAGAGGATCATCAATTAGCTGCCTCCTGCACATCCCCTACTGGGGACCGAGCCCTCAACCCAGGCATGTGCCCTGACCTGGCATATGATCATGACCTCCTGGTTCATAGGTCAACACTCGACCACTGAGCCACGCCAGCCAGCGGGCAGTCTCTGGTTATTTGGAGTGAATTCGAGGATGTTCTGCCTGAATGTGGCCCCTGTCCTCCGGCTCAGCGCTGAGGTTCTGTGGAAGGTTGAGGCCGGAGCTCACGGGTGCAGCTGCGGGGGTTTCCTCATTAGACCTAGATCTGGGGACCAGAGCCCTCTCTCCGCCTGCCGCCCAGGCGTGCAGCTCACCCGCAGCGCGGCTCCTCCTGGCGCGGACGTGGGTGGGGGCGTTGGGGGTGTTAGAATGTCCTGGGGAGAAAGAACCCCGGCAGCGTCTCTCCATCACAGGATGCGCAAGGACTGCCATGCTGAGCAGCGTGCAGGCGGCAACATTGAGGACGGAGACGCAGGGGGGGCCCCGTCTGCAGGCGGCAGCAGCGCCCCGAGTGGGGGCAGACAGGAGGGTGGCACGGAGCAGCCCAGAAAAGAGGGGACCCACCACTGGTCACCCCGGGAAGGGACACGGAGCACAGGTGGGTGCAGCGGACTCAGGGTTGCTGAGAGAGGCCGGGGGGCCCTGTGACCCCCCAGGGCCCGTGTTGCTGAGAGAGGCTCGGAATGTGTCTCTGGAATGCGCTGGGCACCGGGTGGTCCTCCCTCAGCGGCAGCGGCACGGACCTGCCATGACGGCCAAGCCTTCGGGGCACAGCCCGCGCTGCGTAAACCCCAGCAGATGCCTGGCCCTGCCCGGCTGCGGGGAAACTAACATCCTGTCCCCGTTCTCACTCGCCGGCTACCTTCCTCCCTCCCCTTCCTCCGCGAGAGGAACTTGTCCGAGTATCAGTAGGGACTCTGCAGGGGGGCCTGGCCCCCTGAGACCCCCACGCCGGGCAGCCACGCTCCCCCCAGCGCGGGTAACCCCGGGCCTGCGGCCCAGGCAGCTCCGTGGGGGTGGCCCCTTTCATGGTTCTGTCACTGGTGTGGGAGGCACAGGCGCCCAGGCCCTGGCACAGGGGTTAGTGACCAGGGGTGGGTGACGCTGCTGGCGTGTCGGACCAGGACTCCCAGGAACGGGCGACTTCAGTGTCAAAGCCAGGAAAGTCCTGGCAAACGGGGCGGGTCCCTCACCCTGGCTGCTGCCCCCACCCATGCCTCCCGCCGGCCTTGGGGCTGCGGGCGTCCTGGGTCAGCGTGCGGCTCTCAGGGAGACCTCCGTGGGGCCCAGGCAGAGCAGGACGCCCACCTCCCTGCCTGGCGCTGACGTGGGTGCCCACCCACATGCCAACCCGCGCTGCTTCCTTTAAAGGCCGGAGAAAGGGCAGGAGCCAGTCTGTCCAGGCCCGCGGGGCGCTGAGCCCAAGGCCGCCCTTCCTGAGCTCGTCAGGCCCGATCCTGGAGAGCCGCCCGGCCTTCCTCCCCACGTCCTCGTCGGCCCACGGCCTGGCCCCCCGGCTCGAGGGCAGCCGGCTCTCCCTGCGCTCCTCGGCCGCGTCCCTGCACTCGCAGCCGCCGCCCGCCACCACCGGCCACCTGGGCGTCCGCGAGCGGGCCGAGGCCCTGGTCCGGTCCAGCCTGGGCTCCTCCAGCAGCTCCACCCTCAGCTTCCTCTTCGGCAAGAGGAGCTTCTCCAGCGCCCTCGTCATCTCGGGGCTTTCAGCCGCCGAGGGTGGCACCACCAGCGACACGCAGTCCTCCAGCAGCGTCAACCTGGCGCTCGGCCCCTCGGCCCGGGCCGCCGGCCAGGCCACCAGGGTAAGGGGCGCCCAGGGGGCCGGGGCGGGCAGGATCCTGGCTGGTGGCCCGTCCAGCTGCCTCAGACCCCTTCTCCCCCCATAGTGACAGATGACAGGTCAGCCAGCAGGCGTCTGCCGCGCTGAGGCTGACAAACGTTAGTCACGCCCTGGGTAACGCTAGGCAGGCGGGTATCACAGCTCAGTCCCCGAGCCTGCGCCCACCTGGGGGTGTGCCCCCTCATCCAGCAGCGGGAGCGGGGGGGGCCACCTCGTTCTCTTCAAACCACTCCCTGCCCAACGGACAGGTCGGGCACAGGGCAGGGCACACGTCAGCACTGGGTTCCATCGTCACCGATTCCCGCGCAAGGTCAGCTCAGTGCCGAGGCCGCCTACTTGTCTGCTTACACTTTAGAGAGAGCTCCGGGGACACCCCCCAGGGGACTGTCATCAGCCAGGGTTCCAGCCAGCTACGGAGACGCGTGCCCGGCACCCGGCCGCCTCTCCTGTCCCGGGGCGGGAGGCGTCAGGGCACATGGGAGGCACGGGGGTACGCACATCCGTGTTGGACTGTAGGCTCCCAGGCTCCTTCACGGCCCCGGGGCAGTTACTGGAGGTGGATGAGGCCCCCCTTCCTCCCCTTGGGGTCCCCCTGCGCTCACCCCCTGCCGCTGGCGGGCAGCAGGTTGGGCGGGCAGCATCACATGTGAGTTGGAAGTGGCCGTACCTGTTTGCTGAGCCGTAGTTTCTCTTTTCTCTCCGGAAGCACTTCTCTGAGCCGTGCGACCCCACCGAGGCCGCCGAGCAGGGGCAGCGTGGCGGGCGCCTGGCCGCGGGCCTCAGCGTGGTCTGCAGGAGGGCCAGCCAGGAGGACATGGGCCTGGACGACACGGCCTCCCAGCACAGCGCCTCGGACGAGCAGTAGGGCCAGGAGGGGCCCCGCAGTGGGAGAGACCGAGTCCCCCACGGCTCCGCCTGCCTTCGTCTCCCTTCTGCTCCCCCCAAAACCAAAAGCAGCCAACAGTCATCCACGTGGGCCTTCCCCGTGGACGAGTGAGAGCTGGTGTGGAAACTGACTGACTTTATCTCAGGTTCTTGAACAATATCTCACACGATGGACAAAACCAGTGGACCAGGCCTCCCGCCCACTGCCCTACAGCAGGAATGAGGCCCAAAAATCTCCAGAATTTGGATTCAAACAAAAGCCAAGAGCCCATCCGCCACGCCCGGCCCGACGGAAATCCGACACCCGCATGCTGACCAGCTGACCTTTGCACACTCCCGTCACCAAGAAGGAGCAGCTAGTGGCCACCCCACCTCACCAGCCACGGGCCAGGCGCCGAGGTCACGTCCACGCACAGACACTCACTGCTCTGTAGCGTCCACACCGATGTTGGGTGCGTGTGAATGGTGACGTGCATGCAGCCATGTCCACGGCCCCGTGTGACAGCCCACATCCCCGCGTGAGAGCTGGACGTGCAGCCCGGGCGGACGGACACCACTGGGGAGGACGCGGTGCCCCACTCGCCAGAGCGGTGTCCCAAGGGCCGCTGGGCCGTGTCCTCGCGGGACACACGCTTGCTCCCCAGGCCAAAGGAGTCCCCACCGGGTCCCGGGCCACCTGCACACGCCTGTATTTTTGGAATGAAAGGGTTTGTAGTTACTGCTGTTTCCAGTTCTTTGCGTTCTGCCGAAACTTGTCATTTCTTAAAATGAGTCCTTTCCTGGGAGGAGCATTTGGGCCGATCCTGGGACTTTTCCCACCCTGTGTCCCAGGGCCGAGCTGCAGGCCGGCTCCCGCCCTGAGGGACCCATCACTCCCCCGGAACCTCCCTTCGGAAGAGCAGTACTTAGAAACACTTACAGTGGAAAAGTCGTACACAGCTCCTCACTGCACACCCGGCACTGACGCCGGCCAGGTTCGTAGCTAATGCTAACTGCTAAGAAGTCCCAGAAATCCCTAGATCTTCACCAGAAATCACCAGAACGCACGAAACTGAATCACACCACAGCCCCGACCACTCCAGGGCAGTGCTAGCCTCCAATTCCGGGGACCAGTGGCTCCTCCATGCCGGCTGCGGGCTGTCCCTCTCTCTCCGCCGCCATCTGACAGCCCGGCCTGGCCTGGGCTCCCTGGGGAGCAAGCGGGGGGTAATGGGGGTCCCTCCCACGGTGGCCACAGCCGCCCCGTGACGACACATTTCCCGTTTTCGGGGCAGGAAACAGGCACAGAAAGGTTTAAGGACTGGGCCAAGGTGGAGCCCTGGTCTGACCCCTGACCCCGCCCACACCTACCTAGCGCCAAGGGGCCGCTCCACGCTGCATCCCTCCACACAAGCACCCACGTGTCTGCAACCATCACGCTCCTTTTATTTCACAAAGTAATAAGCAAACAAGGAAACAGTAAAAGATGGTGGGGGGAGGGCCCGAAAGGCTCTTCTTTCAAAATAATCCTTTTCAAAAATCAAGTAACTTCACGCTTCAGGCTGCACACGATGCAGACGCACCTGGGAGGGCTTCACGTCGGCGAAGTGCAGAACAGAACAGACGAGGCAGTCACCCCCCTCCCCCACACACATTCATCAGCTTCACTGGGGCGGATCCCATCTGGTGCCGGAATCGTCCTCATCTCAGCATTTACCCCAATCAGCCGCACAACCGCAGAGGAAATAAACAGCCGTGTGATACGCACGGCCGTGACCAGGCCTGGGGGGGGCCAGCATGCGGGCCGACTCGCCCCCCTGAACCCTTTATGGGAAACACCTGCAGGCTTTCCCTGCGGAAACCCACTCGGGTTCAGAGCCGGGGGGCAGAGGGGGGGCCAGCACCCTCGGGCCGGGCTGCTGGACGGGTGGGCGAGCCCATCACTCACTTCCCGCCGCTCTGCACGCACCTCACAATATCCGGCAAGAGGTGGTTCCTGTTCTCCTTGGTGACCTGCGGGGGGGGGGGGGGGGGGCAGAAGCCCTCAGAGCCCCTTTCCTCCCTTCGTGCCTCCAATGGTCTAGACCAGCGGTTCTCAACCTGTGGGTCGCGACCCCTTTGGCGGTCGAACGACCCTTTCACAGGGGTCGCCTAAGACCATGCTGCGTATCAGATATTTACATTACAATTCATAACAGTAGCAACATTAGTTATGAAGTAGTAACGAAAATAATGTTATGGTTGGATCACAACATGAGGAACTGTATTTAAAGGGCCAGAAGGTTGAGAACCACTGGTCTAGAACAAGCATGTCAAACTCGCGACCCACGGGCTGCCTGCCTTGCTTATTGGGGCTGTGTTAGCCTTTGAGTTTGGCATGCTTGTTCTAGAACAAGAGCCCGCAAGGCCGGGAGGGGTGAGGTATGCGATGAAGTAGGACCAGGGACCAAGGATGAGCCGGGTGCCAGGTGTGAGCCAGGTGTGAGCCAGGTGTGAGGTACGGGCTCCTCAGCATCCAGGCTGCTCCGTCTGAGAACCAGCCTCAGTCGGGAGAGCCAGCTGGGCCCCGAGGCCTCCCAGAGGTCTGTCTGCACAGGGAGTGGAGGTCAATTCCTCGAAAGGGAGGCTCCCCCACACTCCATCCTCGAGCTAAAAGGGGGGCCATTCAAAGCCACGGTCTACTGAGAGCCACTGCGGTTTCAGGTCACCCACTCACTCCGCCCGCAGCCACGGCGGCGTCTGTACTCACACTGAACACCTGCACGTCCGCCCGGCTCCGGATTTCCTCCACGAAGGCCAGCGGTTTCCCTTTAGGGACCGGGATGGTGCCCAGGACCACGGTCCCCGGGGCGGCCAGGGTCTGCCGAACAGCCCGCGTGAAGGGCTGGCTGAAGAGCTCCATCTTCCCCACCTCGTCGATGACGCACACTCTCGGCCCCGGGCTGCTGCCGGCACCTGCCTGGGAGGACAGACGGTCGCTGGGACCCAAGGCCCATTAAGCAGGGCCCCTCCCCCATCACGCAGCAACGTCACACCAGGGAGTGAGCTACGCCAGGAAGACAGAGCACCTCCCAGTCCACGAGAGACAGGTCGCAAATTCCTCTGCCCTGGAGACTGTCCCACCCGGAAAACCCCACTCCTGACCCTCCTGGTTCTCCGGGCAGTTGGTCCTCCCCCAGGACAGTTCAATAAGAGCCACACTGTGTGTTTACAAACACTCAGGAAGCAGGCAGGGCCCTGTGCCTGAGGCTTAGAGCCATGAGACAGGCCTCAACCCTTCTTAATAACCCTGTCTGCAGGGGGGGGGGGGGGGGGGGGCCTGCAGGCAGAGGCCTGCGTCTCATAATCTGCAACATGAGGGTCGGTGGAAAGAAGGAAAAATTAAAACAAAACGCGTCTTGGTTAAAAGAAAGAAGTGAGCGGGGTTGTGTCCTTTAAATCCTGGATCCCCTTTCCGATGGCTTTATGCCGTAACCTTGAAAACCCCCTAGGGCCGGGCCAGCGTGGCTCCGTGGTTGAGCATCGACCTATGAACCAGGAGGTCAGGGTTCGGTTCCCGGTCAGGGCACATGCCCAGGTTTCGGGCTCGATCCCCAGTGTGGGGCGTGCAGGAGGCAGCCGATCCATGATCCTCTCTCATCATTGATGTTTCTATCTATCTCTCCCTCTCTCTTCCTCTCTGAAATAAAACTATATTTAAAAAAACCCCACTAGGAACAGGGGTGGGGCCAGGAGCCCCAATGACCCCCAGCTCCTCAGGTTCCCATCCTTGTGTAGCCCCCGCCCATGCAGGGCCAGGGCTGAATTTATGTGACAAGGAATCCACTTGTACTTCAGAGCGACAGCAAATTATGTGGCGGATCCTTATCAAGGCTCAATCACTTGAAGACTTTTTTTAAAAAATATATTTCCTTATTGATTTCAGAGAAGAAGAAATAGGGAGAGATAGAAACATCAATGATGAGAGAGAACCACTGACTGGCTGCCTCTTGCACGCCCCCTACTGGGGATCGAGCCCACAACCCGGGCACGCGCCCTTGGCTGGAATCGAACCCGGGACCCTTTAGTCTGCAGACTGACGCTCTATCTCAGGGGTCCTCAAGCTACGGCCCATGGGCCACATGCAAATACAAATACTGTATTTGTTCCCGTTTTTGTTTTTTTACTTCAAAATAAGATATGTGCAGTGTGCATAGGAATTTGTTCATAGTTTTTTTTTAAACTATAGTCCGGCCCTCCAACGGTCTGAGGGACAGTGAACTGGCCCCCTGTTTAAAAAGTTTGAGGACCCCCTGCTCTATCCACTGAGCAAACCGGCCAGGGCAAGACTTTTAAACTGTAAAATGCTCAACGGGCCTCTCCTTAAGCGCAAAGCCCCTGCGGTCCAGGGCCAGCAGTTCCCACAATGCACCGCAACAGACGGGCTCCAGGAGCAGAACCCACACTCACGTCCAAGACGGGAAGCGCCAGCTGCTCGAAGGACGCCAGGTCCACCACGTACTGCCCGACCCGGCACTCCCGTGTTCCAGGCGGAGGCCCTGCCCTGGGGAGACAGTGAGTCCCACTGAAAGGCCCCTGCACGGGTTTCTGGTGGTTGGCTACCCCACTGACCTCTGACCTTCCACGGAGGCTCCATCATCCTTAAACCCACCCCCAGCCCTGGCCAGGTGGCTCAGCGATGGGAGCATCGTCCCGTGCATCAAAAGGCTGGGGGTTCAATTCCTGGTCAGGGCACACACCTAGGTTTCAGGTTTGATCCCTGGTCTGGGTGCATACAGGAGGCAACTGATCAATGTTTCTTCTCTCTCTCTCTCTCTCTCTCAAAACAAACAGCAGAAGTGTGCAGAGCTGAGAGCAGGGCTACCACTAAGGGTGCCCACCATCAGCCACGGGCCTGGTGGGACCAACCCCCTGCTCCGGGGAGCTGCTGCACCCACCAGCCCTGCAAAGCATCGTGAGACCGGACTAGGATCACGCGCGAGAAGAGCTCATCAGCCCGTGGAATAAGCCTGAGTGAAAGGCGGTATTTTTATACTGTTTTTCAGATGATGACTTCAACCTGTTTTCTTGCTCTAAGAATTCCAAGGGGCTGAGATTCTTCCAGGGAGGAGAGAGCACGTGGCTCACCGCTGTGCCCAGGGGGAACGCACCACCCGAGAGGAGAAATCTCAGTACCCGACTCTAGACAGGGGTCCCCGCAGGCCGGACAACGTGACCACGTCGAATCCGATCCTCCTGCCTCCTTGCCTGACTTCTTGCGTGTAGAACCCATCGACGGGCACCCCGGAGGACTTTAAAACCTCGCTGGCTTTCTGGATCAAAGTTGTTTTCCCAACACCTGAGGAAAGAAAGAAACCCCCACTGAGTCCCGGCTGTCAGGCTGCCCTGTGCGCCGGCTGAGTGGGCTCCCGGGAGCAGAGACGGCCTCCTAGGTGGGTCCAGGGGGGACAGCTGACCCTGGGAGAAATGCTAAGTGCCCAGGAGACCCACGAGGGCACTCACAGAATCCATAATCCGAGAAGGGAGATGGCCAGCTCCTAGAGCCCAGGCCGGCAGCCCCCACCCCGCGCACCTCTATGCTCACCCTCACCGCCCCACACGCCCCTGTGCGCACCCCCACCGCCCCACACGCCCCTGTGCGCACCCCACCGCCCCACACGCCCCTGTGCGCACCCCCACCCCCCACACGCCCCTGTGCGCACCCCCACCGCCCCACACGCCCCTGTGCGCACCCCACCGCCCCACACGCCCCTGTGCGCACCCCACCGCCCCACACGCCCCTGTGCGCACCCCACCGCCCCACACGCCCCTGTGCGCACCCCCACCGCCCCACACGCCCCTGTGCGCACCCCACCGCCCCACACGCCCCTGTGCGCACCCCCACCGCCCCACATGCCCCTGTGCGCACCCCCACCGCCCCACACGCCCCTGTGCGCACCCCCACCGCCCCACACGCCCCTGTGCGCGCCCCACCGCCCCACACGCCCCTGTGCGCGCCCCACCGCCCCCACGCCCCTGTGCGCGCCCCACCGCCCCACACGCCCCTGTGCGCGCCCCACCGCCCCACACGCCCCTGTGCGCGCCCCCACCGCCCCACACGCCCCTGTGCGCGCCCCCACCGCCCCACACGCCCCTGTGCGCACCCCCCCCGCCCCACACGCCCCTGTGCGCACCCCCCCGCCCACACGCCCCTGTGCGCACCCCCCCGCCCCACACGCCCCTGTGCGCACCCCCCCGCCCACACGCCCCTGTGCGCACCCCCCCGCCCCACACGCCCCTGTGCGCACCCCCCCGCCCACACGCCCCTGTGCGCACCCCCCCGCCCCCCCCGCCCCTGTGCGCACCCCCCCCGCCCCACACGCCCCCCCCGCGCGTCCTTTCCCCGCGCGCCCCCATGCGGACCCCTCAGCCTCCGGGAGGCGGAGACGAGGCGGGGTTACCTGGGGGCCCCGTGAGAAACACATGCCGGGCCATACAGGAGCCGCCGGAGAGGGGGTCACGGCCGGGTTCGGGTCACGGACGCAATCCCGGAAAGGGTCGCGGCCCAAGTCCCGCCCACCACGTGCGCGGGCCCCGCCCCCGCCGGCCGGAAGCACCGCCCTCGCTGCGCAGGCGCCCTCCGCGCCCTTCCCGCGCCGGGCCTCGGTCTGCGCATGCGCCCTCAGCCTCGGGGCTCGGGGTGCGCCGGCGGGGCTGGGAGGTTGGTGGTCCCGCCCCGTGCGCGTGCATGTGCCCCAGCCTCGGCGCTGGGCTCGCGTGGGGTGTTTGCCAGGAGGCGCGCGTGGGGTATTAGGGACGACGCCAGGGCTGCTCCACGCGAGCGCTGGCGCTGGATTCCGCCCTGGGATCGCGCGTGGGGGCTGTCGGTCCGAGGCTGGGGGCTGCGGGCCAGCCCTGAAGGAGGCCTGGGTCCCGGCAGCTTCCTCAGGAGGAGGCCTTGCCCGGGGTTCCAACTGCCTGCTCCGCGGAGTCAGCCACAGCTGCAAAGGGGGATGCCCTGGTTGCACCCGCCGATGCCCCGCTGCACCTGCACAGCGTCAGAGTCATTGGTCCTGGGCTCCCTGGCAAGCCCATCGGACCCTGGCTCAGTGGATGGGCGACGACATAGGAACCAGGAGGTCGCGGTTCCGTTCCCGGTCAGGGCACATGCCCGGGTTGTGGACTTGATCTCCAGTGTGGGGCGTGCAGGAGACAGCCGATCCATGATTCTCTCTCATCATTGATGTTTCTCTCTCTCCCTCTCCCTTCCTCTCTGAAATCAATAAAAGTATATTCACCACCACCCCCACCCCACCCCCGGAAGAGTGGAGGGAGTTTGGGGACGGGGTGGAGAAGGTGCTGGGATTGCGAAGTACAGAATAGTCAATGGGGATGTAAAGTGCAGCTTAGGGAATATAGCCAGTAATACTGCCATAACTATACATGGTGCCAGGTGGGATCACTGCGTAAGGTATGTAAATGTCTCAACCCCTGCGCTATCTGAAACCAACATACTATTGAGTGTCAACTGCAATTGAAAAATAAAAAAGCCAAGAAAACCCAAACTGGCGATTCCTACAATCCACAGGGGGTGAGAACGCTCATCAGGCTGAGTCCCCGCTTCAGCTCTGCTAGGAAGACCAGCTCCCCCTCTTGTCTCCAGGCCCCGAGCTTGGACAAACGCAAGACCCAGCTGGGGGATCTCCCCGTGCAAAGAATAAAGTGGCTTCCCCTTCACGTAGCCACTCAACGCGGCGTTTCCGCGGTGAGATGAAGTGGCCGTGGCCTGGGGCCAGATTTACCTGCAAACTCTTTCAGCCCAACACGTGTAGCGCGTGACTTGTGATCAATCATGCTCCATCCTGGCTGAGAAAGCAATTTCAGTGAGAGCACGACTTAATTGGTTTGTGGCCACATGGGACCGCCAGGGGCCGCCGTGTACACCGGTCAGGTGGCCTGTGTCTCTTGCTGTTTAAAAAGGAATCGTCTACAAACATTTAGACGTGTACCGTGTAACCATCACCATCATCTCTGCAGCATTGGTAAGGCATCGCTGGTAATGTAGGGCCCTGGCACCTAGGGCAGCAATGGCGAACCTTTTGAGCTCGGCGTGTCAGCATTTTGAAAAACCCTAACTTCACTCTGGTGCCGTGTCACATATAGAAATTTTTTGATCTTTGCAACCATAGTAAAACAAAGACTTATATTTTTGATATTTATTTTATCTATTTAAATGCCATTGAACAACGAAAAATCAACCAAAAAAATGAGTTCGTGTGTCACCTCTGACACGCGTGTCATAGGTTCGCCATCACTGACCTAGGTTCATCTTTCACCTCCATACAAGCTGCAATCAACAGCAGCTGATGTGCCCGGCCGGTGTGGCTCAGTGGTTGAGCGTCCACCTATGAACCAGGAGGTCACGGTTCGATTCCCGGTCAGGGCACATGCCCGGGTTGCGGGCTCGATCCCCAGTAGGGGGCATGCAAGCAGCAGCCAATCAATGATTCTCTCTCATCATTGATGTTTCTCTCTCTCCTTTCTCTCTCTCCCCCTCTCCCTTCCTCTCTGAAGTCAACAAAAATATATTTTTTAAAAGAACAAGTTTCTGAAGACAAGCTTCCTGAGTTGGAATCCCAGCTCCACTTAAAAAAAGAGGAAAAAAGTGGAGAAAACAAAGGGAAGGAGGGGTGGAGACTGACATTACACAGGGCTCAGCAATCAATAGCTCTGTGAGTTTCTTTCAAAGGACTTTCCAGGCTCCTTTCATGCCAAGGAAAATGGCAGAAATGTGCATTTTTGCTCTAAATCTCTGTGCTCTTTGGACAGGATGTCCGCTCCCCAGTCCCCCGTCACATCGTCAGGGCTGACTTCGTTGCCTCTGGGCCAGGGTGAATGGGGCCGGAGGTCCCTGGGTTTCAGAGCTTCTGAGCACCCGTTTAGGCCTCCATGGATATCAATTCCTGGCAAGCTTCTCACGAACTCAAAGCCAGGAGTCCTCCTTAGAAAACCGAAGAGTTTTTCGAAACTTCCTCATAATCTCCTACTGTAATTTAAACAAGCAAACTCAAAATTCATGCTTTCCTTGCTTTATTTAAAACATATTTTGTTCAACTGCAAATTTGGGATGTGCCCATGTTGCCTGTCTGCCAGGTCTCACAAACAAGCGGTAGTTTAATTACACAAACAAAGGCACTATTTTAAGTTGGGGAGAAAATTAATCTTCCCTTTCTTCCTATGTCTCAAAGAGGAGCCACTGTCCTCTGCTGAATTCACTTCCCTTAAAGCCCTGGGACTTGCTTTCCCAACCCCCCCAAGCCTTTGGGATTTGGGGAGAAGTTTTAAAGGGATAGAAAACTTTTATAAAGTGTTTTTCCTCTAACTCACTATGGTTTCCATTTTGAAACCGGAAGCTTCTGATACCAGTTCAGAAATGGAGTCCACTGGTGTTGAGCTCAATGTTTAATGCTTTGCAGGCATTATCTCATTTAATTCACAAAACAGCACCACTGAGAAGAGCGCTTTTTATTTTTTAAATATATTTTTATTGATTTCAGAGAGGAAGGGAGAGGGAGAGAGAGATAGAAACATTAATGATGAGAGAGAATCACCCATCGGCTGCCTCCTGCACACCCCACCCTGGGGATCGAGCCCACAAGCCCGGCAATGTGCCCTGACTGGGAATCGAACCGTGACCTCCTGGTTCATCGGTCGATGCTCAACCACTGAGCCACACTGGCCGGGCTGGCTGTATTTTAGGAGGCAGGTGAAGGGACATTTGCAGCGTTAATTCCACAGCCTCGACCTTCAGTGTCCCAGCTTGCACAATACATTCCTGATTCGGTTTCAATTGGGGAATTTTTTTGCATGTGTGTTTTTTAATAATTTGAAGAATTTACACTGCACATTCACGTGGTTCCGCTTGGACAGTGTATCTATTACCACCCCGCCTCCCCCCATCACATTTCCTCCCCGTCCCAGACTTTGCTGACTCGTCCACTTCCACTTCGGCTCCTGTCTGACCTTGGCCATCCTGTCGCCTCCATGCATCTCGGGTTTCCTCACCTGGGACATGAGAAAGCCCCCTGCCCCTCCGTGTGCCTGCGAGGCTTCCCTGGGCTGCAGTCCTCTAGTCCAAATGCTGAGAGAGGAGAAAGCACCAGGGGCTATTCAATGGCAAGTCACTCTGAGCTCGTCAAGAAATATAGGTACAGCCCGGCCGGCGTGGCTCAGCGGTGGAGGGTGGGCCTATGAACCAGGAGGTCGCAGTTCGATTCCCGGTCAGGGCACAGGCCCGGGTTGCGGGCTCGATCCCCAGGGCGGGG